GTATATAGACAAAATACTTACCTTAAAAATAAAATTATTGGAATGGTTGAATTAATTAACAATAGAATTAAAATTAGACTTTCTAAAAATTAAAAAAATTAAAAAAAAATTATTAATTATTTGTATATTTAGGTTGAAATAAATTAAATAGCATATCGCAGAATAACGTCTAGGGGCATTATTCCGCGATGATACGATAAGTAATTTATTAAAATATCAATTTTGTTAAAACTTGAGAATGATTTCGCCCTATCTATAGTACATAATTGCTTCTGGCATACAGGGATCCTTTCAGTTGTTCAAAGTAACGAAGAACCTACTAATGATAATAATAATGAGTTAATAAAAGAGATGAAAGCAGATATTGAAGCACTTAATTTTTGAAATATAATGGATCTTGAAATCTATATTAATTATCCAGAGGAAGAAGTCACAACGGGAGGAAATATCTTTATTAATAGTATTGTTGAAGATAGTAGTCAGCAATCCCAAATCAAATAAAATCTTGAATAATTAGGAAATCTTAACTTTGGTCACTAACATAGAACCTGAAGATTTAAATGACAACAATAGTAAAGAAGACAAAGACGACAGTAGAGAAATTTCTCTCATTATCCACTATAAGGCACTAAATGCTGTAAAGGTGCTGGAACAATATCTTATGCAACAGGATCTAAGTGATAAAGCCCGGTTGGACCACGATCAAGCTCTATTAAATTTACAAAAGACAATCAAAAAAAGTTGAAGTGTGTTTTTTAAACAAGTAAACCTTAAAGCCTTCTTTCAAGTTGATAACTAACTGAGTAAATTGGGTTAGAAATCGTTAAATACGTATAAAATGAACAATGCATAATTTATATAAATAAAGTAATAAAGAGTTATTAAAAAACAAAAAAAAAGTGTATGAACTTGTAAATGTCTAATGATATTGTAATATGTATAAAATATGAGTGATAATCTGGTATCACGTAATAATGGAAGTACTGTGATATTATTAGCTGTTCTCTAATTGTAGCCCTCCTAAATGCACGCATTAGAGGCAGTCTCGATGACATGCATTTAGGAGGTCTGACAATATTTCAATTTTCACTTTACATCATCATTATACAATTCCAATATTTATTATAATAACCACTTCTGAACTAGCAACAATGTTTTGCATTATATAATCTTTCAGGATCTTTTATATAATTGTTCTTTATATTTTTTAGCATCTATATTAGGATCTTTATTTCACATTAGTAATAGTATTTTATATTACTCATTTCAGTTTTAGCAACTTTATTGGCAGATTTGATCTGTCAGGTCATTTTGTTATTCAGCAAGGATAAGTTTTTACTTTTTCTATTGTTCTTTTAGCACATTCAATCATTATCGATCAGGTTAGTTTCATCAGTGTCTATTTTATTAACCATCCTTTTTTTATTATCCACTTCTCTTTTACTTTTGACTGTTGTTTTATCTTTTTCAACTTTCTTTTTCATTTCTATCACAAATGCAAATTCTTTTGCTTGATTATACATCTTGAGTTGAAAGAACTCAATATCATCATGATCCTTCAAACTGCAAATGTACTAAAATCTCTTCCAATCTTCTGATACCTTACTATTTATCATTATTACACAAATTTTATAGTGCTTAGAATACTCTTTCATATATTTCCTATCACCTTACTTTATCCCCAAGATTCATTTTAACTAATTAATACTATCTTTGAAAGGAAAAAACCCAGAATATATCTCTTCAATCAACTCTTAATTAACAGGCCTCTGCTCATTGTTTTCAGCTCCAATTCTATTTTTAGAATAACATCCAAGATCAGAAGCCATATCAACATGACTTTCAACATCATTATTCATAAATTTTCCTATCATCAGCACTTTTTTATCACTGTATATACCACAACTCCTTTTTGGCATATTTTCATTAGATAGTATATTAGGTAAGCCTTCAATTTTCATTCATTCTTTAGACTTAGTTCATCATAACCTATGCATCTAATATTTATAGCACTTTCAGCAGTTTTACTAATACAATCTATTTCAGGATCAAGATCTTTTAGATGTTTGTCATTCATTATTTGAGTATCAGATATGTGTTCTTTTTTGTGACTTCTTCTTTCAGTATCCTTTATATTTATTATACTAATATCTCTATTATTTCTCACATTATCAACACCATTCTTCATCAATTCATTTTTATGTTCATAACCCTGATACTCTTCTTAATATGCTTCTTATCACTAATACCATTTTGTAGTAATGATTAACTGTAAATATTTTATTATAATAACTCTCAGCTAGAGATTTTTAATAATGCTTGAATGCTTCTTTTTCATTAGAACTTTTAGGTTTGTCTTTTATTTTCACTTTTTCTTTAATGTTCAAATAACCTTTGTTGATTACACTAACTTCTACTAATTTTTTCACTTTTTATTTATCACCATTAGCCTTCATACTTCTCTATTAATTGCTGTTTTTACGTTTTCTGACACCATTATTTTTCTTACCACAAATCAGAATAACCTTATAGTGTTTACTAGATTTATATTACTACCTTTTTCTTTTATTGATCATGATTTCGATTTTTTAGAAATGGATATAAATAAGCCAAGTGTACTTTGAAATGGCATATTTAATATAAATGCGATCTATGTTTTTGTCGCTTTCATTGAATTGTCTTAAAATAGTTCATGACCTTTTGAACTACCAGTTTTACCAATGAAGATAAGAGATTACCACCTTCTATTTTCTTCATTTCACTACTTAGATATATATTGTCTTCGTTCAATTATAATATTCCTTCTTTTATTCATCTTAATCATATACAAATGCCACCAAGCACCCCAAGTTCTTGAATTTCAAACAAATATATCATTTTTTACAAGGTACAGGTCCAACATCCATGAAATTCAGGAGGCAAGGCTGTTTCCTTATTCAGGTCCTTGTATTAAGAAGTTCATTAACTTCTAGAGATTTTCACTCAATTTGTACTAACAAATAGTGTTCACTTAGTTATATAGAACTGAAGTATAGTATCAAATACTTCTACTCTAAATTTATATATATTAACACAAAGTTTATACTTTAAGTGTCTTTATTAATTAACTACTAAAGCTAAGCTAAAACTAACTCTATAGCTAAAATCAACTGTTCTTATTTTCAAGATCTTATCTCATTTAAATAATCAAGATCATACAAAGGTTTGGGCCCTATAGCTTAGCAGTTAGGCTGTTAAACCTCACAGACTTGGTCGATAGTTCGAGTCAGGCTAGAGGCAAAATCTTAGGATTTTTAGCTTCTGTAACTCAATAGGGGGCCATAATTGAATGCAGAGCTCTGTGGTTAAGTTCAAGTGCAAGTACAAAACCAGAAAAGAAAATTTCTAGAAGGAGGTCTAATTATGAAGTGGTGGCACTATATATAATGGATCATAGAAGGTTCTGTTACATGAAGGTTGTGCATGTTAGTCCTCGATTAGGGGTGACTGGAGCAGCACCAACATCCCCAGTGGTTGGGGTATTTGATTGGGAGAGTGACATGATGGTAACAAAACTGGAGTAGTGAGAAAAGTGGTAAACACGAAGATGACTTGTGGTAAAGGATTGGTCTATTCAAAGTTCATAAGCATCTCTGGCCCAAAGCCACTTGATCTATTAAAGAAGAAACCTGTAAGAACAGAGCAAGAAGGCTGAAACTCGTAGTATGTAGTAAAAACTTGAAATGGCTGGATTCACTAAGCTGGTAGTACAATTGTATAAATCAGGCTTGTATATCAGAAATTGATAAGGAACACCAAATCCTGAAATTGAAAGTATCACAGACTGCAAGTCACACTAGATCTAGACCTCTAGAGCTTTGTAACCTAAAATGTCAGGGCACCAGAACACCATAGCTCAAACTATAGAAGATAAGTAATATGAAACCCACAATCTGGAAGTTATAAGGTAACCTATAATGCAACACAGAAAGCCTGCACCAGCACACAAAAGGTACCTACCTATAAGGTAATGGGAATCAGCAGTATATTAACTAAACTAGGCATTAATGATGAGGCTTAACCTGAGCCAATATGAGTTCTTCTTCGTTATACTACTTAGGAGACTAACTGAAGATAACCAAGATTAGAAGTAGCTCTTGAGGCTACAAGACCATATCTCAGAAGAGACTACTAAATTTAAGAGCTTAGACATAAGTGGTATAAGAGATGCAGAGAATGACGTTATAGAAAAGTATACTGAAATAGGACTTGTGAAAGGTGTTAAAATACTAGGTGATTAGGTCAATAAAGATATACTACTCTAATAGGTTTGGATTGCTGATAATTAGATCAGTGGTTAGTAGCAGATAGGGACATCTATCGTGCAAGTAATAGTTTTGGCCAGGGCATAGGTTACCAATAGGATCCAGGTTTAAGCTTGGTATACTTAATATATGTAATATGAAAAATGTAATGATACATGTAAAGTATTATTAATAAATAAAGTTATGGGCAAGATCCCATCTTAATATCAAAAAAAAAAAAATTTAAAATCATGCAATACATTAGTTATATAAATCTGATCTTATGCAGATTACAGCACCACTAACTTTAGAAGCATGATTTATCTCATA